ATTTTTACAGTTCACAGTTTCTAATATATATTACTTTAGAAAACATATCAAAACTGAATAAAAACTTTTCTGTAGTAATATATATTCTCCACAACAGGCGCTGCTTTCTTAATTATCTTTTCCTTAGTAAAAATACACTAAAATTTGCTTAAAAGAAACTTACCTGTACACTGTCCTCCATTGGTTGGATCTCCATAATAACCTGGCATACAATCTTGACACTGCTTTCCTGTGGTGAGATTTTTACACTGTTCGCACACATTATTATTGATGCAAGTGCTATGTCCATTACACTGGCAAGCTAAAGGAAACAGTAAAAAGTATTACAAATATCTAACATAATATCAAGTATAATAGTTATCAAAACAAAGAATGTATCTTAAATAGCTGGACTGTAAAAATGTCCAAAAGGCATCTTCCAAGTTTTGCTTAAAAATTAATAACACATATAGCTCAGAGTTTTATGCAAGATAATGTGTACCATAAATCATGTGTTGATATTTTACCTTAACCTCTTTACAATGCTGTGGTTAAAGATGACCTGGAACTTAAAAGTTATAGCTAAAGAGGGAATAATCTTTAGCATAATCCTTAAAAATTCATAAGAATGGTATGTCTGCTAAGTTATATAAACACAAGGCTAAATATTATAACTTTGATAAAGAATGTTAAAATTAATCTTTTATATTAACATATAATAAAGAATCAATCAATATAGAAAATTGTGTGGCAACAGAGTCTTACTAGAATAAAGTAAACTAATAGTAAAATTATTAAAAACAGTACTTTTGAGCCAGGCACAGTGGCTCACTCCTGTAGTCCCAGCACTTTGGGAGGCAGAGGCGGACAGATCACTTGAGGTCAGGAGTTCGAGACCAGCATGGCCAACTTGGTGAAACTCCATCTCTACTAAAAATACAAAAAAATTGGCCAGGCATGGTGGTGCATGCCTGTAATCTTAGCTACTCGGAAGGCTGAGGCAGGAGAATCGTTTGAACCTGGGAGATGGAAGTTGCAGTGAGCCGAGATTGTGCCACTACACTCCAGCCTGGGCAACAGAGCAAGACTCCTTCTTTTTAAAAAAAAAAAAGTACTTTTGAATTAATTTGCATAAATGTGTATCTTCTTTAGGTAAGAAAAACTTCAAGGCTTAACTAAAAGTCTATTTAAGTTTGAACTACACAGAATGAAATATAAAGTATGATATTGTTTCTATATCTGTATAACTGAGACTTCTATGTTTTGATTTTAATATTACAGCAGACTACAAAAATTTCAGAATAAAGTTCATATATGAAAGCTCCTGCTTTTTGTGCCTATTTGGGACATAATATTAACTTAGTCTGGTAACTGCTTGGCCAAAAATCATCTTGTCAACCTCATGATTATTTTCACTTATTACAACTATGATAGCAACTAGCATTTAATAGAGCTCTCTCTCACTCCATGAGGAAAGCCAATATTCTGCTGATGCCAATTGTTTGTAGTTGGTATCTGTTCTGATTGGTAAGTGCACATAAGCATCAATTTTTAAACATTGTAAACACCATGACTTGGCCAGAAAGAGGACCAAATGGTACACATGAATTTTATTATTTAATCTTCAAAACAATGCTATGTGGAAGTTGCTGTGTTTAGGACTGATACTAAGATGGGGAAATCTAGGTTAAGCAACTACACAAAGTGACACAGCTAATCAATGACAGAAACAAATACATACATAGAACTCTGAATTTTAAAAAAAAAAAAGGATATTAATTAGCATGCAAAATGGCCTCTTATATTCAGAAAATCTGAAAGTGAGAGGAATTCCCAAGAGGCTAGCATAGGATCATCAAAATAAATTAGCATGTGAAGAAACAGACATACAAAAGAGTAAAACCAAATACTTCACACAAATTCTTGGAGGTGCAACTCTATTGCAATGCATTATAGAAAGAATATGCAGTTATGAAAAAAATGCTCATCATCATCTTTATGAAACCGAGAAAAATTATAATATGTTTTTAAACTTCATATTACATTATAAAACAATTATGAGAAAATTTAATAACAAGGAATAATGTTCATGACAAATCAAGAGAAGCAATTAATACATAGCATTATATTTACAAAGATCACAATGTTAAACTCAAGGAAGCGGAGCGAACAGCAAAATAGGTTTCTCCAACAATCATACCCATGAAGAAACATCAATTTGAATAACCACCCACACATACAATTGCTTTCACAAGGGCTAAAAAAACAACCCAGAATGCACAAGTAAGGCTGTGAAGCCTCTCTGGACTACAGACTAGTAAAAGTATGGTTGATAGTAAGAGAATCAGTTTTCTGTGACCACAGCACCCCATCCCCAAGCCCTTAGAGTACTATACGCAGAAAGGCCTCCAGGACTTAGGGATTCTACACTCAAAAGAAGAAGCTGGAGGTAGGCATTATGCTTCTCTACCATCCTGAACCCCTCCATGGGAGATTTGCTTCTGCATCATCCCATAAAGAGCACCACAAGTACAATGGGGTTGAACCACCTGAGGCCACCTATGGAAAAAAAAGAGAGTAGGGCTAGTAACAGGCAGCACAGAGAACTTGGTAGTGGCTTACCATCCCTGGCGGAGAGGATGCCACACCACAGAGGATGTTTGTGAGTGACACAATGTCAGATGTATGGTCTACAATCCTTCATATGTGAGGGTCTGACCCTGATCTCTTACATGGCCTGGGCACCCAATGTGCATCTCCCATGATCACAATGAGTTTGGACCCTGCATTAGACAATCATGTCAAAGCTGGGCTCAGGGCACCTTCTAGCACTAAAATGAAATACAAGGGTCAGTCTGCTCAGAATATATCAACAAGCCCACCGAAATAGAACAGTCACAAACAAATTCAGACTGCAATGACTGGAAAAAAACACCTAATTCATCAAAACACATAGAGACACATGTAAAGAAGAAGAAAGATTAGCTTGGAAAAGATGGCCTCATGAAATGCCCAAAACAAGGTGGCAATTACTAATCCTAAACATATGCACATAAATCATAGGCAATCAAAGAATTAAAATATAGCTGCTTTAAGAAAAATCAGCAATGTCAATACAACACAGTGGAACAAATGAAGAATTTGTTAAAGAAATTCAACAAATTGAAATAATTTTTAAAATCAAACAGTAATCCAGGAGCTAAAAAGAATAATAAACGAAATGAAAAATGAAGACTTGGCGCAGTGGCTCACGCCTGTAATCCCAGCACTCTGGGAGGCCGAGGCAAGCAGATCACAAGGTCAGGAGATCGAGACCATACTGGCTAACATGGTGAAACCCCGTCTCTACTAAAAATATAAAAAATTAACCAGGCATGGTGGGGGGCACCTGTAGTCCCAGCTAATTGGGAGGTTGAGGCAGGAGAATGGTGTGAACCCAGGAGGCGGAGGTTGCAGTGAGCCAAGATTGC